AAAAAAAAAAAAAAAAAAAAAAAACAAAAACTAGCTTGTGTTACATCCCCCGGTGCGGTTCGGTGCGACATAGCAAAAAAAATAATTGAACAGCACCGCAACTTAGAAAAAACCGAACTGAATTTTTTTTGCACTAAAATAACCGAACCCCACCGAAATGGTTCGGTTTTGGGTTTTTTTCTCGGTTTTTATATACATGTATTTAATTTGGTGCGGTTCGGTGAAAAACCTTAGAGAACCGAACAAAACCGAAAACCGAACTTATGGAAACCAATAACCCACCGCACTGCAATATAAAAAAAGACGAAACCGAACTGAAACCGCATCGAATTGTTCGGTTTCGGTTCGGTTTTCGGTTTCGGCTCGGTTTTGCTCACCACTTGTATGATTTGTTGAGCAAATAAAGAAAAGAATGTATTACTTTCTTTTGGCAGATCTGGGCAAGTGATTTGAGGTCTCGATTAGCAGTGTCTAATCTTTTTCTAACTGTTGTGACATCCTTTCTCATTGGATCTGTGAACTCTTCAATTTCCTAATGCATTTGTTTATAAATAGAGCCGGCCGAGAAAAAAAAAATAGTATTGTTAGTTGCACGGTCATTTTATCATCGTAAAATTAGTTTTTTCAATTACAATTACAAGTTATAAGATCAAACAATCTAATGGTTATGCGAGTGAATGTGTCATATTCTTTTGAACAAAAACCATTAAACATATATATATGTTTCAACAAATATTCATTCTCCCATATTGAGATATCATAATTTATTACGAAATAAATACACAAGACAATGATATGTGTTTCGGTTTTGCTATGGAGCCAGCAATTGGCTTCATAGCAAAACCGCACATATGGTTTTGTTGTTAAAAAATAATGACATATTAACCCTCATAACAATTAAGCTGATTAACATCCATAATTGAATATGGCTAAGTTGAAAAAATAAATTTTACCCATCCAAATTTGTATGATTGTTTCATTTTTAAATCACCATATTGGAGATTTAAGCAGTAACACCTCACTCTTCATAGTTTTCAACAAGACCTCTTATGTCTTAGACAAAACCCATTCTCTTATTATTCTATATGTTTCATCATTAAAAATAAATATATAAAACCACATGAATGAAAGAATTAGCATTGATATATAATTGACAAAGCATGCAAAATATTTATTTTTTTCAAGAATATATAAAAACTTACTTCCCAAACTTGTGTCAAACGCTTGGCTTCTTGTTGGGCACGAGTGAGTTGAGACTCGACCTTTGCTCTCACCTCCAATTTTCTCCGCTCGATTTCCTCTTCTCTCGCTTGGTGCGAAGCCAACACGGATTTTGAGGCCTCGTCATCATCATCATCCCCAGCCGTAGATCGGCCGCTACTCCCGATACTTGCACCGAGGCTCTTCATTTTTTCTTCAAGATAATAATACCACTACTATGATGCTATGGCATATATGCATAGATTACTAATTTGTTCTGCAATTTTATGGCAATGTCTTTGTGTTGTTATAGTTTTTTTTTTATTTCATATTCAAGGTTATCTACTTTTTTGCTTTTGCTTTAATACTTGCCTTCTTTTTGGTTCCCTCCCTTTCTTTTCAAGCTCTTATTGATAA